ACTCGGAGCCGATAAATCAAGGGTTCTTGGTCCCCCACCTTCTCCTTAAGGTTATCGTCCAAGCTACTGAAATGATCCTTCAGCCTGTGTAGTAGCTGTCTCTTATACACATCTAGATGTGTATAAGAGACAGCCTCAATGCTCTGCAACTATGCTACGTACCTACACTGCCTGTTGGACTATGTACGACCCTGGGCGTACTCGTATAAGAAAACGGATGAACCGTAACTTCGGATGGAGTGGTGGTTTAAACCTAAGGTAACCCTAGACCTAACCATGACTATTGGATGTACCTAACACTGACTATTGTACTACGCACCTACACTACCTGTTGGACTATGTACGACCCTGGGCTTACTCGTATAAGAAAACGGATGAGCCGTAACTTCGAATGGAGTGGTCATGTAAACCTACGGTAACCCAAGACCTAACGATGACTATTGAACTGCATACGACCCTGGGGCGTACTTGTATAAGAAAACGGATGAACCGTAACTGCAGATGGGGTGGTGGCTTAAAGTTTAAACCTACGGTAACCTAGACCTAATGCTGACTATTGGACTATGTACATAATGCTAATTATTGGACTATGTACGGCCCTGGGCCGTACTCGTATAAGAAAATGGATGAACAGTAACTTCGGATGGAGTGGTGGTTCAGACCTATGCTACCTTCTTCCCCCGAATACAACGTACGGTCATTCTAGCTGTATCTAGACTGAAAGATGCCTCAAATACAGCTATAATGACCGTACGTTGTATTCGGGGGAAGAAGGTCGACCGCCCAGGGTAAAAAGGACAGGCATCAGACGGTAGGTTTGTTCCCTACTTAACTTTGTGGGTGACATGCGGCTTAGGTGAACACAACTTTTGTTCCCCGATGATGACTTTGGGCATCGCCACACCACTCTCAAATGTGCAAAATGAAAATGAACTTCCTGCTAGAACATGGCCAGATGCACCCGCCACATTTTTGCTTTTTCACATTTCGAGAGTGGTGTGGCAAGGCCCTTTGAAGGGTATATTACTATATTGATATTATATTCCGGAAAACGAACCCCTACCCTAGACCTATATCCCACAGACAAACCTCCGACTGTTTGGCACATCGCAAAGGTGTTTGCTTATTCTGATGTCAATCGTAGATTGCACAGGTGCAGGACATTCGTCGTACCTGGTCTTAAACCCGGTCTAAAACCTGAGCCTGACTTTTGAACTCTGCACCAGGTTCGGCTGGACATACCTGAGTGCACGGAAGACACACTGACTGTTTAGCACAGATTGAGGGTGCTGATTCTTGTGTCAGTTGTCACACTTTCCCTGCCTCAGGCGATTAGGATGAAAGGAGCGCCTCAGCAGGTTTGCTATAAAATCACCTCAACGGTTCAACCATGCTTGTGAGAATGACTGAGATTGTTTCAATTTATTAAATTCTATTTTGTGCCGGATCTTCGGTTTGGCAACGTTGGATCTGATTTCTTTTTTGTTTTTTGAACTTTTTTCTCTTTGGTTCTATTCCCAAAAAAAAAAAAAAAAACATAGCTATGTGAAGTCCTTGGGGGAAGACACTAAGCTTATGCTCTGGGACACAGCAGGCCAGGAGGAATTTCACAGCATGACAAAATCATATTTTCGAGGTCAGACCCCTTTTCTTCCTGCTAAGACCCCCCTTTCCTTCCTGCTAAGACCCACCTTTTCTTCCTGCCGAGATCCCCCCTTTCCGAGGTCAGACCCCTTTTCTTCCTGCTATTTTCGAGGTCAGACCCCTTTTCGTCCTGCTAAGACCCCTTTTCTTCCTGCTATTTTTGAGGTCAGACCCCTTTTCTTCCTACTGAGACAACCCTTTTCTTCCTGCTAAGACCCCCCTTTTCTGCTTGCTGAGGCCCCACTTTTCTTCCTGCTCAGACCCCCCTTTCCCTCCAGCTGAGACCCCATTTTCTTTTTCTGGCTGAGACCCCTTTTCTTCCCGCTCAGACGCTGCTTTCTCTTTGTCGGGAACCCCTTTCTCTTCCTCCTGAGAGCCCCCCCTCTCTTCCCTTTTTTCTTTTTTTTTAACTAACTTAAAGCTATATTCTTCTCTCCAATACACCTCACACTACCTATCCCTGAATCTACAAACAGGGGCCGGCCACATCGAAAGCAACTGAGTACGAATGGTGAATCCAACCCCTAGCAAGGGATGGAAGGGACGAAGGCAAAGCCCCTAGTACCAAGGCCGACCAGGGGGCACAAGCCAGCTCAGACCCCCTTTCTCTTCCTGCTGAGACCCCCCTTTTGTTCCTGCTGAGCCCCCACTTTTCTTCTGAAACGGTTTTCACCTTCGTGGTAGCAGATGCAGATCCCAGGGCTCGATCCCTAGACCTGCCCCGAACCCGTGTACAGTACAGTTTGCCCCATCTAGGTTTGCACCGGTGACCTGTTCCTAAACTTGTCTGTTCAAGGCTGTTGTACATACGAGGGTTGAGTAGGTTCGAGTTGCTTACCTGTAGGATAGAAGTGGTAGTTTATGTCTGGTCGTAGCTGCTGTACGTCTGAAGGGTCAACCTTAGTCGTAGCTGCTACAGTACCGAAAGGGCAAGTAGGAAGGTCTAGAGTCTTCTAGGACTGCCCCTTTGAGAGTCTTGGAAGCAGTCCGTAGGCAAGTGGGCAAGTGGGCAGACTTACCATGTCCAGTCAGCGGTACCCAGTCCCAGTCGCACCTTGTCAAGTCAGCAAGTACCATTTGGGACTGTGTGCACCCTAGGCCCGGTGGAAAAGAGCAGACCAGCGACCAACTGAAGTGAAATTAAGAGGCAGCGTTCAGTTATTCATTCATTCAGCCTGTGAGCCGTGCGGAAGCGCTGCCTGAGCGACTTGTGCAAGGAGGTCTGCAGGTGCCCGAGGAAGAAGTGGGCTGCAAGGGAGACGAAGCGGCCATAGCCGCTAGTTAGTGGTAGAGGTAGCAAGCAGCCATAGCTGCTCTAGGTTAGAGATAGGTTATAACGCGTATGTGTGTGTGAGTGTTCGGCGAGGTGTGTGCGTGTGTGGGACATCCCGGGAGATCCAGAGTAACGTGCGGTCAACAGTTGCTGAGGATACACTGTCGGAAGGGTGTTGTGAGGGTGCATAGGCGCCATAGCCATTTGAAGCAAGTTTGAATCTGAACTGTATTCTCGGCCATGATATCTCTGAGCTTTGTGTGGGTGCCTGGCGCCAGTGCGATTGCCATCTGTTTCCATGCATGCTGAGTGAGAAAGAAGACGAGTCTGATTGCACTTCCTGCTCAGACCCCACATCTCGTCCTGTTGAGAACCCCCTTTTGTACCTGCTGAGACCCTGCTTTTCTTCCTGCTCTGGCCCCCCTTTTCTTCCTGCTGAAAACCCCCCGTTTTTCTTCCTGCTCCTGCCAAGACCCCCCTTCTCTTCCGACTGCGAGCCCCTTTTTGTTCCTGCTGAGACCCCTCGTTTCCATTTCTTTTCTGTTTCTGATCCTTACTGGAGGTTCGCCTACAGAAACCCCCCTTCTGTTTTTTTTGTTTTTTTTTTTGGGGATGGAGGATAACCTCCTTTTTTTTTTTTTTTTTTTTTTTTTCCCAAATGAAGAAGTATAACCTGATCTGCCCCATGCCCAGAGTGGGTCGTGTCAATACTGCCGAGTTCACTCAAATCGACTACATCAGAACATCTTTAACCTAAGTGGCTAAATCTTCAGCCTTGCACCGTCGTAAAAATGAATACGTAACTGTTCAAGCTGTCCAATACAATAGCACAGACACATACATTAGCCACACAGGACCACAGAATAACACTAGCTATCTGGTGCAATTCTGTTTCGACAGGCTAGCATCTCTTCTATGATCTATCCCAGAACATGGTAAATATGGTGATCACTATGAATAACAATGAAAGGGAGAAAAGATCGAGAAATGGGAGGCTGATTTGGTAACTGGAAAATATATGAAATCCTTCTGGCATGGAGCAGATGATCATTCCCGTGTTGTTTTCGTACATGCACTGTAGGGGGTACACTTGAGGCCCCTAGCCGCAAGACAGCTGGTATGAATGCTTGGTATCGAGAAATCTCATTGGCGCCGTCTTGGCCGTCACTTTTTCCACAGTCTTTAATCCTGAAGTATAGATCGTTCCAGCTGCTGATAAGGTAATCCCCTTGGAGCTCACGTAGTACTGCCTTGCATTCCTGCTGATAGAAGATATTGGTGCTGGCGATGGTCCGGGAAGTCGACTCAAAGAGGAGGATGACTGTAGCTGCCTAGCAGAGTTGGGTCCTGCTGCCTTGTCAGCCTTGTCGTCAGCGGGAGCAGGAGTGGCAGCCCAAGCAACTCGTCCTGTGACAGTCTCAGGTGAATGGTGAACGCTTTGGAAATAGTCAATCAGCTTCTGCTTGGACTGCGATTCCACAAGGAGCGTTTGGTACTTGTTCTCGAGATCCACATACTTCCTCAGCAGCTCATCGTTAACCTTGGAAGGAGGCTCCTGGCCAGCAGTCAGAGCTGCAAGCTTCAGATTAGCCTCACACCTTAATTGGCTTTCTCTCCTGAGTTTCTGCTCCATCAACGCCAAATCCTTGTTCGCTTTCTCAAGCTGGGCTAAATGTTGCCGTTCACATTGCTGCCTGAGTCCTTCCAGATAGCGGATGTGCACATCCTTCTCCTCCAGCTGCTTGACCAGCTCTGCAGGTTTTCCCATAGCTCCTCTTGGTGAAGTCATTAGTTTGTCTCTCAAGTCAGAGAGTAGTTGCAGCTGTTTCATTTTCCATTTGAGAAGCCTGTCCTTGTTTTGGGTCGAGTATGCTAGCTCCCTGACAACGCTCAAGAGCTCATCTTCCGTCTCAAACAATGCATTCCTGACTGCTTCCAGCTGCTCTCTCAGGGCCTGCACCTCTCCTAGCCTTTTTTCTCTCTCCTCCCATTGCTCAATATCAGCAGTTGTCTTCTCCTTCTGAATCTGCCTTATCTTTCTTCGATACCTACCGTGAAAAGTCATCATCTTGAGTTTGAAGTACGCCTTCAATTTGGTCATTGATTCTTGATGGTGTGCTTCTTGGACTCGGAGCCGATAAATCAAGGGTTCTTGGTCCCCCACCTTCTCCTTAAGGTTATCGTCCAAGCTACTGAAATGATCCTTCAGCCTGTGTAGTAGTCTGCCTATGGCCTCTCTCCTGATGTCCCCAAGCGCATCAAGCATGTTTGTCCCGAGCTCATGTTTGAGAAGAGTATAATTTTGCTTGTGAGTAAACAACTTCTGCTCCATATCAAGAATTTGAGACTCGTACTCACTGGAGATTACCTCCCTCTTCTCACGAATCCGGTCAGCAATCAGGTCATCTGTTTTTTCCAGCTTTCTCCTCATAAATTCGAGCTCATAAATAATTCCAAGGCCTCGATCGCACACCTCTGCTTCCCTTCTTGCTATATGACGCTCATTCTCCATTTCCCTAAGTTTGGAAAGGACTCGCATCTGTTGATGATTGACCAGGCTGCATTTGTATAGCTTCCTCACGGCATCAACCATCCTTGGGTTGTGAGCATAGGATCTCCATGACCAAACATGGAGTAAAACGCCAACAAACTCTGCAGTCCATGCTTCGAGGGAGATTTCCGGGATATTGTATTGCACAGACCATATCTTGTTCTTCATGGCCCCTCCCTCGGACTCCTGGTTCCCCTCTCCCTCCTCCTGTTCTGCATCCTCGTCTCTCTTCTCCTGTTCATTCTCCCCATCCCCCTCCTCATCGCCATCATCCTCTTGCCCGTTCTCCGCCTCCTCTTCCTCCTCAAGGTCTTCCAGAAAGGCCTCGTTCATCTCTCCCCATGCTTGTTTTGCCTTCTTCTTTCCCCCTATCTCCCATTTCTTCCGCGCTGGTTGTTTGTCCTCTATCTCCACGACTTGGATGACGGAACCCCGAGTACTTTGTAATCACCCCAGGAATTGACTGACAAGGCTAGCCATGACAACCTGGAAGCTTGCCGTGTGCAGATCTGGAAGGTTGAAAACATCGCTGGCTTGGCTTTCCTTTTGGGGGGGAAGATGGCTGCAGTCGTCTGTTCGATCTGCTTGGATCCGCGGTGAGCACGGTCGATTGTCTGAGGTCCTCGTTCCACCGGTTCAGAGTCGGATCCAGGAGAACGTACAGGAGGATGGGAGTTTGAGCCCCAGCTATGATGGCTAGAGAAACTTGTGCCGGRTTGCCTGCTATTCTTTCTATCCCCTCCATCGCTCTCYGACCCWGGGGAAACAGCACTTGTTGCTTTCCTCGGAGTGCCACTGGGTCCCCTTGACCCTCTCCGTGCTGCTGTTGCATCCCGCTTAGCTGGCTGATAGAAGTTTGTCTGTTTCCTGTCTGACTGCCCCAGTCCCAAAGAAGGCTGGGCCAAATTTTTAACTTCTGGCTGAGAACGATTTTTWATTTCTGGCTGGTGTTTCAAAGGATAACACCTGCTTCATGGTGAACAGCTCAGCTTCGAAACGCCTCATATCCCTTGCCCAGGCAGAGATCTTGCCTGGCGCACGCAGCAGTGGCCCTGCCACAGGCTTTAAACGCCTTGAACCGTCTGAGAGTGTGTGTTGAGCATTCTTTGACTCTAAGGCAAGCCCTGTTGCCAGGTCCACATCTATGACAGCATTTGCTGTGACTCTTCTGAAGTACGCGCCAACTGCGGATGCAGGAGCAGCAGATACCATGAGTCCATGTCGCTGTGATGAAGACGATCGCCGTCGACGCACCAGAGCATGAAGACCTGAGCCAATCTCAGAGCTGGCAGACGCGGTTGTGGTGATCTGCATACGCGACAAGTGAGAAGAATCTGGTGATCCCAAGGAGCCGGGACCAGCGCTGGTCCCACTTCCAGTTGCAGCAGCAGCAGCAGGAGCAGAAACTTGACCCTGAGAAACACCATCAGAAGAAACCCCCTGGGTACTTCGACGGATTTCGATCTCATCTGCTAAATCTTCAATTTGGCCGAGTGCTGCCGCTTGTTTGAAAAACAGGATCTTCAGCTGGTTGTGAGTCGGCCTTAGATCCAGATAGTAAGCCTGTTTCATCAGATTTCGAAATGGCCTTTCACTTCCTCCTGGTTTCTTGTCGTCGATCAAGGTTTCCTCCGTCTTAATTTGTAGCCCAGTTTGGTTGTGTACCGCAGAATGTTGACTTTCGTGGTTATTCCTGAAACTCTTCCCTTTATGTTCCATGCCCACTCTGCCGGGTCTATCTCGAGTTCCTGTATAGCCATTGTAGGAGCGAGCGCCGTGAGTTCATCATCCTCAATCACCCTTATTTTCCTCAGCCCCTTCTTTCTGATAGCGACTGCTACTTTCACTGCTTTGTCTAGAGGGCTGACTGTGGCGYCRGGCRATACGATGGGAAACATTTCCCCTTCCAGCCATTGATTGTTGGGACCCACCTCTTGATGAATGCGGAAAGCTTGATCCGGTGTTGTGCTGTTGTTCCAAGTCGCCCAGTCTCCCCCTGTCCATTTGTACGGTGCTCTCAGCAGTTGGGTCCATTCCTGTGGGACGGAAACCAGGATGTCGTTCAGATTTTCTGTGAGCCTGTGACAGCCCTTCATTGAGACTCTTAGCTCCCTTCCTGTTTTCCACCTTCCTTCTTCTTGGGACCACAGGTGCTTGATCTGCCACACTCCGTGCTCCACCCATTTACCCCATCTGGTGTCCCTTGCTGTCAGTGTCCTTGGCTTCCCTTTGGTATCTTTCAGCCAGGGATTGCAGAATAGAGGCTGCCTGAGGACCTCCTCCTTAGACCTGGGACTCCTTACTCTAGCTGGAAATATCTCCTCCCAGATTTTTAGGATCCTGACCCAGTACAAGGAGGAAGCAGAGTCTTCTTCCCCCTCCTGTCCCCCCCTTCTGCCCTTCTTCGACCATCCCTTGCAAAAGATCCAGAAGGTCCCCTCCATGTTGGAAGGGGTAGAATACCTGGCAAGTCCTCGAATGTGTTCCAGGACCAAAGGGACCCAACGAAGGTGAGGTTGGGAGATTAGCTTGATGACCCACTTTGATTGGAGTGCCTTTATYTGCTGTTCAGGATCTAGGATGCCCAGCCCCCCCTTACTCTTGGKCTGTATGACTTGCCTCYAGGCTACTTTGGGRATGAAGCTGTCTCTGGCTGGATTCCCGGTCCACAGATAAGCTGCCGCTACCCTTCTRAGCTTACGTAAAGAGCACCCCGGGGGTGACCAAATAGTCCCCGCGTACCATAGAGTAGAGAAGATGGAGGCGTTGAGGATTAGTGCCCTACCGAATAGCGAGGTATAGATGTTTGACCAAGCGTCCAGTTTTGTTAGTGTTTTAGTCATCTGCTCAGGGGCCATGGAATGGTGGGGGCCCGTGTCYGCTAGCCTGATCCCCAAATATCTCAAAGGCTGCTGTGGGTGTGCCCACTCCATACCCCCGTGATTGGCGGGCTGTGGGTGGGTCTGAGAGTCGTCAAATGTGAGCCACCAGCCCAGCGTCTTRGGCCAATTGATTTTCATTTCCGAGGCCAGTTGGAAGGCTTCCATAGCTTTCGTGAGGGCCCGAAAGGAGGAGTCTGTGGCCCTGATCAGAACGGTAAGGTCGTCAGCGAACAGTATTGTGGTAGGCAAGTTAATGAATCGGCCCTGATGGTCAGGTTCGGCTACCAACCGATCTATCGAGGGGTCCTTCTTGAGGAAGGAGGCTATGGCCTCCATGATGAAGAGGAAGATCGGGGCCGCCAAGGGGTCCCCCTGTCTGACTGACCTGGTCATTTTGTATTTCCCGGAGAGGTGACCGTTGACCTGCACTTGCCCGTGAGAGTCGTTGTACAATACTCTTATCCATTTACGGAAGTTGGGTCCCACCCCCATCTTTTCCATGCATTGCTGTAGGAACGACCAGTTGACCTGGTCGTAAGCTTTCTCGAAGTCGAAGAAGAGGATAGTTGCATTTAATCTTTTGTTCGCTATGTATCTGACCGATTCTGAGAGGGTCATCACGTTGTCCAGGATAAACCTCCCCGGAACAAAGCCTGTTTGATCAAGGTGGAAACATCTATCCGTTATCCTCCTCAGTCTATTGGCTAAAGCTTTAGCGATAATTTTGTGGGTAAGAGTCAACAGCGTGATCGGCCTGTAGTTCTTGATATCCTTAGGGTCACCTTTCTTGTAGAGAAGCGTGACTATTCCCGTCGAGGCTTCTATTCCTAGGCCCTCATTCAACCAGGCTTGATTCAGGTAGGTCTCGTATTCTCCGCCCAGTATTTCCCAAAACTCCTGCCAGAATTCTCTTGTTAGTCCGTCCTTTCCCGGCGTTTTGTTGGGGGTCACAGAGTCTAGTGCTTCCCTCAGCTCTTCCTGCGCTAAAGGGGCCTCCAACATTAGAATTTGTTCGCTCTTAAGCGTGCGGCTTAAGTATGCTAAAAACTTGTCACGGGTCTCCCCCTCGGAGATAAGGAAAAAATCTATACGCAAAGCTGATATATGTTGGCTACGATTCCTTTTGACGTATGTGAACTGTTTCTGGTCCGGCCAGTGTAATCGAAACGGATCCACTAGGTACCAGGCCGTCATGAGGTCGTGAATTGTCGAAGCCTCGTCTCCCCACGTTTCATCCCCCATTCCCGGGTTGCCTCCCATCAATCTGTCCTTGCTTAGTTCCAGTGTGGCATTCCAATCCCCCACCATTATGTTATGTCTTGTAGACTCCATGTGAGACTGCAGTTGTTGAAGCATTTCAGATCTGTCGCGCCGTGAGTTGGGGCAGTAAACTGTGAAAAGGGTAAATTGCTCTTCTTGGTAGGAGAAGTTGAGTTTTATCCAACGCCCCTCCCCTTCATCCACTACGGCCTCCTGTAGAGATATCTTGTTTGCCGCAGCCGCTCTCTTGTTTCGTAAGATTACTACGCCCGCTGAATGTGACCTTGCCGCCCAGGCCCAGTAGCTCGCTTTCACCCATCTTAGTTGCGTTAATATCTTCTGCTGCAGGCTTAGGTGGTGCGGGGCGTTGGTCAGGTGAGTTTCCTGCATGCAAAGAAAGTCTGGCGGGTTTCTTCCAAACCATTCCATGGCTTCCATTACATTGTTCCATTTATCCTTGTTTTCCAGAATCTGTGCCATGCCGTTAACATTCCACGATACTACCCTAATCTCTGCTTCCCTTTCCCCTTTCCCTATTGTTACTCTTCTTCTCTTGAGACTTCCTCCCTCAGACCTCTCTTCCATCTGGTCTATCTTTTACGGGAGTCGCTTGGGGGGACGATCACCTCACGGGTCCCCCTGTGCCCAGTCCACCTCCTCGACCATGTGAGCCAATTTTTCCCCTATGTAGTCCGGCAGCCAGGTGAAGACTCCAGTTCGGGTGACGATCTCTGCTCCCCTTGCAACCCACTCAGCTACTTTTGTGCCGCCCAGAAGACCATAAGGTATCGTTTCCACCACCTGCCATGGCATCCACATGAGTCCCTCTGCCAGTTTTGCCCTCTCCTGTAGCTCGAAGGCGATCGGTCTGTAGTCCAGCGTCAGTTTGCCTCCCGCTGTGTCCTTACACTCCTCCCTGTCCTCAGTGGTACTACCCCATAGCTGCGCCTTGTCAGGCAAGTCCTTCGTGATCCGTTCCCCGAGTTCAGCCTTTGTACACTGGCTGTCCCTCGCTGTGATCAGAGCTAGTGACCGATGGATAGCTACCTCCCAGTCTGAATTACCACTGTTCCAGCGGTATGGCAACATAACTCGCCTCCCCGGGATGTGCCTTGCGAAGAGTTTGGCTGCTGCATTTATGTCAGGATGCGGGGCATAAGCTATTTTTTGCAAATTGATGGTGTCACACCCCAGTTCTTTGTTCTGATCCTTGAGAACATTGATTTGAGCCTCCAAGATTGTTGTCGGTCTCCTTTCCTCCTCAATCTGCTCCCTCTCTTCGAGCTCTCCTGATGAGTCTTCCGTTCCCTGCTCCTTGTTGCTCGCCTTGTCCGCTGCCTCCTGCTGTGCTTTTCTTTTCTGTTCTGATCTCTTTAGGCCCTGTGGCTGATAGGTTTTGGGCCATATGAATTGCTTGGCGTAGCTCGCGTTGTGAACAGAGAGGTCCTTGTTGTCTGGGCATGCTTTCCAAGCGTATTGCGCAACGTAGAACTCATTGATCTCCTGTTCCTTCTTCAAATACTCGAACCTGTTGGTTGAGGTGATGTCTTCCCCTATTGTGGTTGCTTGTTTCAGGTTGCGCAGATGCTTGTGGTGTGCCAGGCGAACCTCGCACTCGACATGTCGCTCCCATCTCAGCTTGAACTGTTCTGATCCACTGTGCCAAAGTTTCTGGTTCCTCATCCCCTTCTGCGTCTTCCCATTCTTCCCCCTCAGCGTCCTCCTCTGATTCAACATCCGTGTCCTGATTCATTTCTTCCTCTGACCCGCTGATCCCCCCTTCCTGAGAGCCTCCTGCTGAGACTTCCATTGGCTCTTCCCCCCCGTCCTTATGTCGGCTGTGTGCTGAGCTGCTGCTACCTGATGACGTGTCCTCCCTCCCTCGAGGGGCTGATGACGCTGATGCCGCTGCTGAAGCTGCTGCTGATTCCGCCGTTGCTGAGGACGGCGTATCCATCTGCTCGTTCTGTGATTTGCCTAACTCTAACGTCGTGTCCTCCGTGTCCATTCCTTGCTGTTTTCCTCGCGCCGCTGGATCTTCCTCTTCCCCTCCTCTTGTGTTGGATCTCTTGGCGTCCTGGCCTGAGCTTGTTGGCGTTGCTGCCTCCCGGTCCCGAAGTTTCCTCTTCGTGGATGCCTGTGGGCCCCCATCTTCCTTCCCCCCCCTGGTTACCTCCCTCTCAATGTTCTGTTCCTTAGTGTTCTTTCCGTTGTCCTGGGAGTTACTACTACCCTCCCCCTCGCCTCCTTCCCTTCCCTTTTCTTCACCTGTTATCTTTTCTGCCTCCTCCCTTGCCCTCCTGTTTTCCAGGAAGGCCCGTTCTGCCTCTTGTCCCAGCTTGTGCAGTTCCGCCATAGTCTGCAAACGCTGTTTGTCGTCCAACACTGTGTCCTCATCGATCATGGGCTTCGTTATGAAGCCTACTTTTTTGTCTTCCATGCGTTTCGCCCCGGCTTGTCTCCAATGGCTATCGTACGACGGGTAGATGTTTGGCTTCACCGTGGGACTGCTGTTTAAAACCCAGACCCACCTGGGTGTTTCCAGATTGTCGTCGAAGATCCACCCTCTGTATTGTGACGAGTTGATATACCAGACCCCTGGTTTGTTGTCCGCTTCCACCAGCATTGACTGCTTTAATTGCAGCTGCTTCCCTCCCGATCCCGTACCTGATTGAGGACAGTGCATTCCCAGATGCCCTCTTGCTCTGCATTTGAAGCAAAACGGGTTTGATTTGGAGGAGATGAATATCGTGATCCGTTCTGTTCTTCTCCTGAATATCCACACCTCCGGGAACTTAGGTGGTGCCCCACAAAAAAAACCCTTCTGTTCCTGCTGGGAACCCCCTTTTTTTTTTTTTTTTTTTTTTTTTTTTTTTTTTTTGTGATCCGATGGATCACGGAGCAGATATTAAACTGATCAGAACCAATACAATGCACTTGATGTTAGCCAAAAGGCGGAGAAAGGTATTGAGGTGCTCTTTTTGTGATTCGATTGTGGCGGATGGCGAGTACTGCAACTACCTGGGGCCCCTTATGCGTCTGTTCCTTGCGCTGGGGCCATGTGTGTCGTCCCAATTTTTAATGGATGTCCAGAAGGGCTGACTCCACTTTCCATCTCCTAACACAAGATTCTTTTGGGAGTACCCACTGAATAAGGTGCTGGGTAGTGGAGCGAGGCACAACTCTCAATACGACAAGTTTGGCGAGTAGGCTCCTGGTTGCACTTAGTGTGAAATTGACTTCGGGCCTCGCTGCACTACTCTGGACATGCACAAAAGACAAAAATCATGGCCGTGTATCTTTCCATGTTCTAGCCGGAGATTCACTCTCGTTTTGCACATTTCGAGAGTAGTGCAGCGAGGCCCTTCGTAAAGGTGACAACTGAACCAGCAACGGAACCACACCGAATGAACAGACAAAGGCGAAGAAAGAAGAAGAAGAAGAAGAAGAAGAAGAAGAAGAAGAAGGTACACTGATATAAAAAAAGCATCTCCCAGGAGGGGACGGTCCGGGGTACGGTTTGAGCGACGCTTGAAGTGCCTGCGCTACCTGTACGGCTCGTGCTATTTAGGTTTTTCACCATAGCTAGCCCACCTCCATCATGATGATGGTGGCAAGCAAGTAACAGCTACTGACCCACGGCGAGTTTTTTTTCTACCGCGTGGAAGCTGTTTTACTTCGGGTGACCACCTCCCCTACCTCCGTCCTTTCTCGTACGATCAAACAAACTCTGACCAGAAGTACCAGCGTAAAGCTCGTCCGAGCGTTCCGCTACAGGAGTTTACCCAGTACCTACGCTGCTTTTGGTGAACGCAATACTGTTTTTACTTGGGCGATATTCTCATTGGAGCTTCCTACACCTTTGGCGAATGTAATACTGTTTCAACACGGCGGTTTCCTTTTTACTGGAATCTCTTCACCTCACTTCGCGCAGCGGTGGGACTACATCATCAAGGCGGTACTTTTACCTGAGCCTACTCCATTCAGCGGTGAAACCACACCATGTCGTGATGCTTCAGTACATTTCCCTTTCCCGCGCCCGTCTTTAATCTAGTCCCCACTCACCCTGTGACCTCCGGCCCTACCACCCTCATTTTTGTCTTTTCCATGTAATAGAACCCAATTTCGCACTGATCCCTCCTCCCCCTATTTCCTAATTTGTCTGTTTCCGTGTAATAGAAATCTCCACGACCTCAACACCTAAAATCTCCTCCCAATAACGTTCTCCCTTTCCCCGCTTCTCCCTCATAATTCCTTTTCACATAATAAGTACCGACACGATCTCATCCCCACCTCACCTTCCAAATCCCCCGTGTCGGACCAATTTTCCCCTCGGTTCCCGCCCTAGCAGTTCATCACTCCCCATCACCCCGGGGCCTTCTGACACCTTCCCTCTTTTGTCCTTCTGGTCGCGGTACCACCCACTCTTATACTGGCCCCCCTTTCTCACTTTTTGTCTTTTCTATGCAATAGAAGCCCCGTAGGATCCCGGCCCCCCCCTTCTCACATTTTGTCTTTTCTATGCAATAGAAGTCCTGTAGGATCCCAACGCCCAGTCCTTATCGCGGTACCCCACTTCTCCCTTTTCCTCTTTTTGGCAAAAGATCCTTAAATCTCCACGCTCCCCTATCGCATAATACGAGCCAGGTACATTTCGTTCATACACCCCACCTTCTAACCCTCCTCCCCCCCCATCCGCGCCTAGCCACTTCACCCCCACGCACTCCACTTTCTGCGGTAAGGAAACCGACTCCTCTCTTGTCTGTACGCCCACCTCCCGGCCTGCAACGCTGTGAACCTATCCCTCTTATCTGACCCGATAAGGAAAATATTTCTTCACCAATTCATCCCGTCTCCCAACCATCCCCCCCACTACTCGAAACACGTCCAAATCCGTCTGTCCACGCCCACCTATATCCCGCCTAACAGTATCAATCCCGAAGTACCACAAACTTACGCGCCTCCTCTGACGATAAGACTGTTCCCCTACTCTACTTCCTGTCGGACAGACAACCCCAACACCCACCCACACAACACTCCCCCCCCCCCCCCCGCCTCACCTCTCACCCTGCCGCCTCACTTACTCCACTCAACGCAATACTCGCTACCAATTACTGTTTTCCACTATCCCCGACTTTCTATCTCAAAACCTTCGTTTTACCGTATTCACACATAATCACACACCTCTCACAAGACGAGGTCACATATCCCAACCTGCCCCATCCACTACGCCCCTCCAGCACAGCTCTTTCCTGAGAATCAACACACACACACATCACCACGTCTAAAACTAGCTTATTTCCTCTCGAAATTTGCCCATCTTACCCTCTGAACACACAGTTACCACTTTTAGTCCCGACCTGATACCCCGGTACTCGGAGATGAATAGAGACACTGGCAGGTCCAATACCACATCACCACAAGACGACATGGAAGATGATGAAGTCTAGAAACTCACCGGAATGATGGAAGAATGGTACCTAAAACAGATTTCACAGGATGTCTCAGAGTACATCGATACCACCGTGAGCGAAGAAGACGATTGTATCGAGATCAGACCGAAGGAAAACATCCAAATGGTACAAAATGAATTTCTCAAACGAATGACAGTAGCCATAGTCTTTCAGGGCGACACCAAGAACTGGTCCAATGACAAGAAAATGGATCTCATCCGGTACCTAGAAGATTCTGTCCTCACAGAAGAAGAACTCCAAACTCTGAAAGGGATATCACACATGGAGGGTAGAGGACAGATGACATACGTAGCGAAAAGTCTGAAAGTGGTAGACTTGCTACTGAATGTGAAGAAGGAGATGAAATTCAAGGAAGGTACGAAATGGAATTCGGTTTATTTCCACCAATGGCTACCGCACGCTGAATGGCAAAAGAAGAGAGAAGAGGACAAAAAGAAAAATTACTGGGTCATGGCCATGCGTTTTCCTATCGCTGCCTCAATTTTCATCAAAACTGGCATTGAGGCAGTCATGGGTGAAGTGGTAATAGAATTTGACCCAGTAAGCGACCCTGAGGACCCGAAACTGGGTAACCTCAAGTACCAACTTAACCCAAGTGCTGAAGAGTTTTTCAGAACCCGCCTGAAGGTCTGGACTGGCCAGGAATTCCTAATGGCAGACCTCGTTAACTCCAACACCCCTTGGTGCTCCAAATGCAACAGGCATGGGCATAAAGCCGATGATTGTCCATACTGCTACTTCTGCGACGCAGCAGATGGGAAAACACAACAAACAGGGAGGAACAGTTTCAACACCTCACAGGCCGGTACCACGACCCCACGTGGGGCCAACCACAAGGCCCGTCCTCCTCAGCAACCGGAGAGAGAAACCAGAAACACAGACCTCCCAGATCTGATAAAACCCAACCACAAAGCAGATTAGGTTGACGTCCAATAGGTCCTCTGAACCCGGCACCTTTCTCGAATCTGGTTCGGCACAGTCAACACACCAGGCGTAAAGCTACCCCTGAATATCCCGGGTTCTGCTGCCACCCCAGCACCGCTGACTATCACTGAAGCAGGAGAAAAATCTCTGCATGCTCATCCCCACAGCAACCTCAGAAGAAGTTGAGATCGGAGGATCTCAAAATGGCAGAGGTTTCTCAACCAACCAAGCCACCACACACTTGGGTGGGTCCGGTGAATCCCACAACACAACATGAAACCCCATTCGTTCTGGCTCCACTGGTCTTCAAACAATGCAATCAGAACACCTTACTCATGCTACAGAGGAAAGACGACAACTCGCTCCACCTGCCGTCTCTCACTACCACCACCTTTCCTCACCCAGATGCCTTCTTACAGGCAGCTAGGCGTACGCTCGAGAAGAAGTATTTTGTACGCAAGGTCCCCGCTATTCCCGGTTCCTCAGTCTACCGGAGAGGAGAATCAGGTAAGAACCACCCCATCATGTCATTATACCTAGAGGCAGCCATCGCACCCGGGGTGGACCCTCGGGTTGCCGATGAAGGCCTCTTTTGGGCCTCACTCGCATGGTTCAGAAAAGGGAACAAGAAAGAAAGATATGCCTCATCCCTCGGCGATGGTATCACAAGAGAAATCATTGCCGAACTCGATGCCTACATACCGAAGGAACGATCTCTTTTCTCAAGATACATACTGGAGACAATGAGATTCCCCTGGGATACTCCTGGACTTGTATCCACGCCTGAGCTAGCTACGCCTATCCAACCAGGGACGCAGGGAAGCCCAACGGATGGACAATAGGCTCACCATAGCCTTTTGGAATGTTCACGGCCTGGTAGATGATAATGGCAAACAGAGAAGATCATGTCTAAAGACCTGGATCCACTCCCTGAAGGTGTCCATCACCATGCTACAGGAGACCAAATTATCAGAGGATAAATTAATCTCCACGCCAAGATGGTGGAACGGACCACAGTTCTGGGCCCCGGCCCAGGGCTTAAAGGGGGGAACATGTATCTTGATCCATAACAAACTTTCTGGCTGTCTGGATGGCTCTGGCTCAGACCCTCTGGGTCAGTGGACTTGGGCCTCCCTAAATATGGAAAATCGGCGCTGGGTCTTTCTGTCGGTATATGTCCCGTCACAACACTCATAAAAAAATCATTTCATATCCAACTTGAAGACGGTCATCCCACCTGCAGATTTTCTCGTGGTAGGCGGCGACTAGAACACAGTCCCGAATGCAGATATAGACTCCAGTACCCCACTCTCGCACCCAGGAGAATCGGCAGCCCTCAATGATATGATGATGGACCTCAGCCTCTTTGATCCATATCGCTTGCTCCACCCGGATACACAAATTTTCACATGGGCTTCCACAACCCCCTCTGAATCTGACATCTTTACCAAGAGAAGATTAGACCTGATCTTAACAAATGAACATGCACTACAGTTCATTCACTAAGCAGACTGTGACACCTTCCCTTTATCAGATCATAAACCAATCTTCATAGTACTCAAGCTAAACACTCAAATTACTAGAGGAAAGGGCCTGTTCAAACTGAGCCTTCATATTCTGGAAGACCCTGGAGTCATCAACTGGATCTGGCAGACTTGGGAGGAATGGAGGTTTAACACCTCTATCTTTCCCAACGAAGGTATCTGGTTGGACAAAGGCCTCACGCTCATTTCCAACTATCTCAACCTCATTTCCAGAGTCAAAGCAGTTAATAGGCGACATCAGGAGATCATTCTGAAAAGGAAAATTGAGGCCTTAGAAAATAAGCCCACTGATTTCCTCTTCTCAAAAATCATTAACATGCGCAGGAAAAACAGACTCCTCCAACAATGGCAAAACATTCAGATCACTAACCATAATACCTGGGCCAAATACAGTCACGTTGACAAAATACTCCATACAGATAGACTTGACAGTAATACAGCAAAGCTCATACACACATCCCGGAGCAGCACTAGCATTTCTACTATCTCTCACCCTCATGATTCCAGCCAACCCCCTGCGAATGAAGCAGTGAAAATCTGTGATTACCTAAAAATATTTTATGAACAACTCCTTACTTCTAAAAAACCACTTGGCAGTCCAATAGTACCACCCCACCTGGAGGAATTACTATGGAAATCTACAAACTCAACTCTCTCCGACTTAGAATCATCTACATTGGAACAACCAATTACGATGACGAAACTCACAAGGGCAATCAACAGCATGGCAAAGGGCAAGTGCCCAGGACCTGATGGGCTGCCGGTAGAATACTACCTACGGGTCTGGCCATTGATCGCTCCAGATTTACTCCGAGTTTTCAACTCGATCCTAAAGGATTAAGCCTTAGGCCCCCGCACAGGTGAAGTTATCATCACTCTCCTCTTTAAGAAGGGGGACGAATCCGATGTGAGGAACTACCGTCCTATCTCATTGTTAAATGTCCATGGGAAGCTTCTGGCCAAGACACTAGCCCTTCGATTAAAACCTCTCCTAAACAAATTAGTACACCCCGACCAATCCGGTTTTATCCCGGGGAGGCAAGTCCTAGACAATGTCATGACTATCTCTCAATCAATTGACTGGATTAATTCTCACAAATTAAATAAAGTTGTAATCCTTATAGATTTCCAAAAAGCATATGACCGGGTTAATTGGGACTTCGTCCAAGCCACCCTCGAAAGAATTGGAGTGGGTCCCAATTACCGAAAATTAGTCAGAGCTCTATACGGAGCCTCATCCGGTCGAGTTCTAGTTAATGGTCACCTATCTTCAACTTTCAAAGTTTCACGCTCACTCCGCCAGGGCTGCCCCCTAGCCCCATCACTATTTGTAATCCAGCTTGAAGTCTTTCTTAATATGGTTTGTAATCATCCTAACTACAAAGGCTTGATGATCTCCCCCACCTACTCCATAAAGGTGTCTAATGTTTAAAGATGAAGAGAAACGCCGAATATGAAAATGCTCCACATCCAACAAATCGTCATCCGTACAGGAATGAATAGGAATTGCAACTACTTCTCGACACCAGAACGTCGTAACCAGCAATACAACCTTTCATTCATTCTACTGATCTGTTGACCACCACATTCACTGCTCCAATAAACATGCTCCGCCTATCGTGCATCCAAATTTCTTCATGTACATCCAACATAAATGTGTCGACACCAAGCGGATACTAGTACATACACCAAAGGACCCTGAATAATCTCAGCCTTTGACAACCACTGTAAAAAGTAGGAGGAGAATTGAGAGGCCCAAGGAACTAACCCCGCCACAATCAGAAGGGCGACTACCAACCGAAAAAGGCCGCCAACAACATTACATCTCAGATTCTAGCGAGATAGAGAGCGAAAACGAGAACAAACATCGGCTATCGACCACAAGTTAGTCGCGTTCGGGTGGGATCCTAAGACTCAGCCGAATCCCTCCCGCCACTCTTACCGTCAGTCTCGCAAACATCGTCCGAAATTTCTTGGACTGCTTTCTTACCGAATGCACTCTCCATGCGTTTCTCGACGATCTCAGCGATCGACTTCGGTATAGTAGTGTATTTAATACCCTCTTTTATACAAATACCAATAATATCGTCCTTCCGCTTATTAGCTAGTTCCTTCTTGGCTTCCCTAATAAAGTTCTCACATGAGTTGTCTTCATCATTCTTCTCGATGTCACTCGTCTTCTTCTTCGCTTTAGTTGACTTGACCGCAGACCCGCCTGCTTCGTCCAACTTCTGCTGAAATGCCGACCGAGGTGCTGATTTCTCCATGTTGAGCTTCGCCAATTTTTTCCTCAACTTCGCATTTTCCTGCTTTGCTTCCCTTCGACGATTCGACTCCTATAATCGCAGTTCCTTCAGTGCATTGACCTCCAAGGTATGAAGGTGAGCAAGTTCAGTAGGATCAGCCGATGGTTTGTCAGCTGTCCTCCGGCGTGGGGTAACCGTGGGCGCGAGTGCCGCCCTCACCACAGGTGTAGGTGAAGTTTCCCTCCGACTCCGCTCGTTCCCGGAACGAAGCGCCTCCCGTTTCCAATTCTCCGCTTCTAATAGAGCCGCCTCGTGTTGTTGTTTCATCACTCGTAGCGCATCCTCCATCAGCTCAGCCCTCTTGTTTGCAGCCGTTGCAGCATCCACCTTCACCTTTATTTCCTCATGCTCTTGAATTAACCTTGCCAACAACGCATCGTCTCTCACTGTCGTTCTACTGGTGGAAGCCCCATCGTTCCTAGCAGTTGTGCTGTGCATCAATCTTAAATTCTCGATCTCATTCTCTAACTTCTCGATCTTCAGTTGTTCCGCCACCACGTCCTTCTTTTGCCTATGGAATAATTCACAAACCGATTCCAGTCAGGCATTCATCGTATCATAGAGTTCCTTTTGCAACACTTCTCGTTTTTTCTTTTCCTTCGCTCGTCTCTCCTCTTCCTCCTTCTCCTTCCGTAGCTTCTCCTCTTGTTCTTTCTAAGCCAGTTCTTTCGCCACCGCCGCATCGTACCAGGCCTTGAGTCGCGCAACAGTATCTTCCAATGCAGTCACTCGCAACGAGCAAAGTGGTTAGGATCCCCGCAGTTGTAACAGGTGCGCACGCTAGACGTAGAAGCCATTATACAACACCACTGATTAACAAAGCCACTCGAAACGTAGTATAACCTCTACGACGGTAACTTCGTGAAATGAAGTGTGAAATTGACTTTGTCAAGGTGACAACTGAACCAGCAACGGAACCACACCGAATGAACAGACAAAGGCGAAGAAAGAAGAAAAAGAAGAAGAAGAAGAAGAAGAAGAAGAAGAAGAAGAAGAAGAAGAAAATACACTGATATAAAAAGGCGTCTCCCGAACGCGACATTAAAGATAAACCAATAACAGTAGGCGGTAACGACCCGACTAGTTTCGGTCGGCCGCCACCGGCACTCATCAGGGGTCTTGGTCGGTCTCGAGGTGTCTAAACATTAGACTAAACTAGTTTATATCTGTGTACGAAATGGACACCACCATCGAAGGCATCTACTACTCGCACTCAAACCGTCCCAAAACAGTCCTTGCCACGAATGGAACTCGGGACTGAAACCCGCAGAACCGAACTAAGACTCACATCAAAATCATGCAGTACGTCGAGAGACATATATCAAACCGTCGTCGAAAACATCCAAATGTCCCCGGGACTGAGACCCACGAGATTGATCCAGAAGCTCAGAGACTATTACCCAGGACTGATAGTGAATAAACCGGTGTGGAAAAACTTTTCCGGGACTCCACTGGACAAATCAGGCCCTTCGGAAAACCTATTTTACGAGGGCTGGGAGGTTTTCCATGACCCCACCGCCTGGAAAAGATTGGTAGCTGAAAATCCGAGATTTTTTGTTTTCACATTGGTTTTCGGTAAAAAAAGTGTCACGACAGGAGTTTCCGCTGGAATTTTGCGCCCTTTCCAGAAAGTAGGAGGGGGGCACGGGGGGTGGGTCCATGTCCTTCGTCGGAAACTCGTCGCCGACCCGCTGGTCCATCTATACACCCAGCAATGGTGCATCTGTCGAGCATTGTCACTCCCCACCTACGAGCAGACAACCGAAACCAGGAACAAAATCCCTTCGAACGGACATCAGCGACTGCCATCTAGTCCATCTCCAGTTTCCAGCCTTTCCAGGCTCGTGGAACCTGGCTTTTCCAGCCTCTCTGGTGGGGCTCCGTCGTTCCGCAGACAAACTCTTCCAGACACCCTTGTGACGAACCAGTTTCTGAAACCGCGCGACTTTCTGCATGAAGCTGCTTGGGGCGGAATACGACGGGTCAAAGGGGTGAGCTGTGGGAAGAGGGTCGGGCGGGCTAGTTGCATGGATGCCCTCGTTTTCTTTTTGTTTTTGCTGGAAGTTGTCGGATTGGTGTCGGGAAAATTGCGTGCCAATGGTTGGGTAGTCGCGCCTTGGCGAGCGCGAGAAATAACTGTACCATAGTTTTTCTTTTCCTTTCTTGTTTTGCTGTGAGCACTGGGAATTTTGGCGCGATCATTGCGAAAGAATATCGTTTTTGAATTTTCAACTGATGTCGAGCCCCCACGGACTCTCGGAATTGTTTTTTTTCTGGTCTATTCAAAATTTTCTTTTGCAATTAGGACTTAGACTAGGAATTTAGGTACTCTGAATTTTGTTGTGCGGGGAACTGGGTTCTGATTGGATCACGCCCTTAATCTTGTGCAACGGTCGTTTTTGGTGGGCGCGATTGTAACTGTATCTTTCTTCTTTCTTGATTTCCTCGTATTTGCCCGCCTTCTTATTCTTCGTCGTCTTATATGCCTGATGCTCAGTTCTAATTGGCCTGAGTGCCTGCATGACCGGATCGATGCGTGGAGCGAGGTTACGACCCCCACGCCACGGCCTGGCCACGCAGACGTAGGCACTTCCTCTCTTCTCCTTCACTTGGGTTTAATCCCGTATCTTTCGCGCAGCCATGCATGCTATACATTTCATGAGTGCGATTAGTTTTCTCTTTAAGAATTTCGAGGTTAGCGCGATCAGGGAGGGTCGGCTAACTAGCAAGTTTGGAAGCTAAGTGAGTGTGAGAGTTGGGCGATCCGACGAGCTGGTGTCGGGTATGCGGTGTTGACGTGAGGGGCCGGGACGGACTGTGACGCATGAACGAACCTGACTTGCATGCTTGAACTAAGCGGGTTGACAACCCTGCGTTGATACGTGGCGACGGACTGCCGGTATCGTGGGTGTAGAGCAGAGAGAGAGAGAGAGAGAGAGAACAGTTGTGGGTCTGGGATGAGGTTCTTTCCTTTGTTCATCTATATAATTTTGGATTCTGATATGGTCGATCTTATCGTGGCCCTTTTTTAACTTCTCTTTGTAAATTGTCTAGGATTTTCTTTGTTGTTTACTCTGTATGTTTGCACGGAATGAATGTGAATTCCCTTCTAATTAGTGATCTCTTTGGATTTCCCATCTTGTTTTGATGCCTGCTTTGTCTCTGTCTACTATTCACTTGCGTGAGCCATACGCACATATCTGATTGTGAGCGCTCGTTATGGATGTTTGGATTTAATCGTTAACGTCCGATCACTAAGAAAGCAGATTACCCTTTTCCCTCCTCCCCTCCTTTCGTCGCATGTATGGCATGTAATGACCAGATATCACCCCATGTAGCATGAATAGGACAGTTGCATGTATGCCAACGTGACCGATACGCTGAGCCAATCCGCCGTCTCTCACGTGCGCGCTCGAGTATGACCGCCATCTCGAGAAAGCCGAGTCGCCACGTACGCGCTCGTCTGCGTGAGTCAACCTTTACCCCGTATAAGGATGCGAGAGATTTAACTTACTAAACGGACATGGCTGCGAGATCTCCCTCTTGGGTGTCTAACTGCAAGAACCTGAGGGACCCGAAATATCGTGAGTATTGGGAAGGTGAAGAACTTAGACTACGGGGAAACTTGAGAAACCCGAAATTCCCTTGTTTGATGGAGAATGACCGACTGTGTGTGGGGGATTTCCACTGGGCTATAACCAACGACCCTAGGGGCCCAGACTACCCGAATACGGATAATACTCAATACTAGTACATATCCCCGAGTTTCATCGTTATCACTACCATCTTCCCTCCCTTCAATCTCCTCCTCCCATATCACCAACTCACAGTGGTACCGTGGAATTCCATAGCTCTCTATTGGCCCAACCCACCGTGCGAGGGTTGCCCGCAATACCGGATGCGCCGAGCTTTGGGAGTTATCCGACAGACTCGAACCGAAGCTGAGCAGCGATTACACAGCCTTCGCTTACGGTCTGCCTCGTTGGAGTTCGAAGCCTGTTACGAGCGGCGTCGATAACAGGCCGAACCGCCCGACCGACCCCGAAGGCGAAACCAGAGGCGATGGTGATTTTCATTCTTGGGTTTTAAGCTGACGAAATTCGAGTTTGTTGGCAGGGGCAATCTTGTTGAGATTTCGTTTGAGAATGCAAGAGTGTTTAGATTTGTCGATGCTGTGATTGTAGAGGAGTACCCCGGGATCTTTAGTTTGGGATGCACTGCACATGCCATCTGCCTTATGTTGCACGACATCCGCGGCTTTCCCACTGTGCACAAACCACAAGAGGTGGTCCACCTTCCTTTTTATAAGGGTACGACCTGCATATGCCCTCTTGCGCTTTTACCCCCGAAACTTGCCGCAGGAGATCTCAGACTCCATCCCCACTTTCCTAAGATCCTTGGCACACCTCTTTTTCGCACTTCTGGGCCCCCATCCCACTCTGATCAGGAAGTCGCGTTGGGCGTGAGGTTGGTACCGGAGCCGACACGTGGCCAGTTTCCGGATCAACATCAGGGGTAAGCCCGCGCAGAACGGTCTAGCTAACAAAGGACGACCTAGGCGGTGGAACGCGCCATGACATGACCCTGTAATAACCAGAAGTAGGTCGGCCGCTCGACAGGTGATCAATATGAATGCCAATCAACAAAATCCCAATCAGCCCAATCGGGTACTAGCACCACGGGCATGAGCACTTGTGGCCCCGCCTGATCTCTACCTTTTTGATCCTGTGCATCACCTCGCGGGCACAAACGGTTATCGGGTAGCTGAAAATTCAAGAATGAAAATTCTGAAGTGAGAGTTTTGTGCAGTCTGAAAATCCTGAATGGTCCTGAAGTGGTGAAAGATCCGAAGACCCTGAAAACCACCTGTTTAGGAAGGCTGCATCCTAAAGTGGTGAAGGGTGTCCTGAAGTGGTCAAGTGAGAGTTTTTGGCAGTCTGAAAATCTCGAATAGTCCTGAAGTGGTGAAAGGTCCGAAGACCATGAAAAACACCCTTCACCACTTCAGGATGCAGCCTGCCTAAACAGGTGGTTTTCAAGGTCTTCGAAGCTTTCACCACTTCAGGACCATTCACGATTTTCAGACCTGAATGGTCCTGAAGTGGTGAAAGGTCCGAAGACCTTGAAAACCACTTGTTTAGGCAGGCTGCATCCTACAGTGGTGAAGGGTGTCCTGAAGTGGTGAAACGTCTGAAGACCATAAAAACCACCTGTTTAGGCAGGCTGCATCCTGAAGTAATGAAGGGTGTTCTGAAGTGGTGATGAAAAGATCGATTGTTGTTAACCTTCTCTCCTCGCGGGGGCATGGACGACCACGCTCCGCGCGCAGCAATACGACAATGACGAAGCGCGGATCAATATCCCCGCATTGGGAAGAGATGCGCATCATTGGTTCAACACCTATGTCTGGACTGATCTCCCAACGTTCGAACATGACTTCTTAAATCGTTCCGATTATATCCATCCCGAACAGGCTCTTTTTATGATTAAGGATCGGGTTAAAAAACCACTCGAATTCGTCATTGAGTATCACA